TTTTTTTTTTTTTTTTTTATTACGAGATTTTTGCATTCCTCTGTTCAATTCAAAATCCATTATCCATGTGTTAAAAGCATTTAATTTTTTCTATATGTAAAAATATTTTGGTCTAAAATCGGGCCTGCGTGAATTTTTTTGGAAAAATTCAAAGCTATAGTATATTCAACATCAAAATCTCCTATTTTTTTAACGGTATTTTTGGAACAAAGTTGAAATTTTTTGATATGATTTAAACAAACACACAATCCCTTAAAGTAAAGGGATTCTCTATTCATGCACAGTGCAATTTTTTTCCTTGGAACAAAATTGATTATTTTGGATATAATTTAAAGAAACAAGTGCTATTCAAATACACTTTATCCAGATTAATTAAACATAAATATATACAGTTTCACTTTGGTTACAGCTCTTATTTAATTTTTTTCCCCCTTAAAGAATCGGTTTCTTATTATTATCAGCAATCAAACTATAATATACAACCTATAAAATCTTGCCATTCTCAATTGAGAAAAAAACATTAACGCCTCTATAAAAACAGATATTAAAAAACGCAAACAATGGAAATTTCCTTCAAATTTGATGGTTTCAGCACTTAATTTGATTGAATAAAATAACTTATTTGATTTTGTTAATATTTTCTTGTTGTTAACCGTGAAATTTTCATTTTCTCTTTAGTACTTATTTTAATTAATTACATTGTCCTACACTGATACATTCATATACTATGCCGCTGATTAAAAAATCTTTTATATTAAGTTACAAATAATATAACTATTATACTTAATATAAAAATAAAAATTAATCTAATCTATATGTATATAAAAAGAATTACCATTTTTTAAAAATGACAAGTCAAACTGTGGTCAAATATGGTTGAACATTAATTGCATGCTATTAATAGCAAGTTTTTATTTTATTTTGTTATTTACAAACGTGCATCATTAATTATTGAATTTAAATGTGGAGCTTGTTATTTATTTTTGCGCAAGATTAGGTTGTTCCTTTTTCATTTTCACAAATTAAAAAAGAAAATATTCTTTAACATATAATTGTGTACCACATTGCAAATTTTATTTCATTAAAAAAATAAATTATGCCTAATTTAATAATATAACCTTACGTTAGTATTTATAAAAAAAATCAGAAACTCTTTTAACATCAACTCAGCTACTACAATTGTTTTAATCGGATGCTTTTTTTTTTAAAAAAAAATACAATTCACTTATTTGGTGGATTTGGTTCATTGATTAAATTACAATTCATTTAAACCTCTAAAAGATAAATTGGTGGATTTGGTTCTATTACGTTCTGAAAATTTCGATCATTGAATATAATTTGAAATTCAAAATCTTTTCTCATATTTGATTTAAAAATTCAATTGTGTTTTTTTATTCCAAACATTCAGATTGCCGAAAAAATTACCTTAAAATTTGAATTGAAATTTTGAAATTCAAAATTCCTTCTCATTTTAGTTGCTATAAAATTGGGCTTAATTCAAAATCTCTTCCTAAAGTAAAAGATTTTGTTCAAATTGAATTAAAAAATATCTAATCACATGCTTCTATCCTTGAACGGCTAACCTTAAATGAAGAATTTTGCGCCACTTTAAAATTAACAAACCACTTGGAAATAACAAAATTATAATAAATTTCATTTTTTAGGTTTCAATTTGCACGAAATTCAAAATGGTTTAAAAATTTCAAAAAAATCGAAATTCTTCTCTTTAATTTTTTTTTATAAAATTTTAAAAAGTTTTAGATTATTTCACATCTTTTAATAATAATAATAATATAGAAAAGTTTAGATAATTTTACATATGCTAATATAGTATTTTATGAGTTTTTAATTGTTTAAACATACAAATTTTATGTTCTCTTGAACAAGCTAATTTTGTATCGTTTATAATAAACTAATATACTATAAATTATATGACATGTTAACCTCACATAGTTAATTTATAATTATTATTTAATATAGTTACCTTCATCTTTAATTTATAATATCTTTCTTGCTATTTTAAGAGAAGATCAATAGTGGTTCCCCACTTTTATCATTGGGTGACTCGAACTCGATACTTATTTATAATTATTATTTAATATTATTTACCCGTGTATCGCACGGGATACGCACTAGTATATAGAGAGATATTAATATTTATTTGGAGAGTTAAAGAGGAAAGAGACAAATGTAATAAGGAGTGGACAGTAAAATAATTAGGCTAGTGAGTAGGGACTAACCAGGAAATGCATTATAGGAGCAGAGATTTTATCTAGCATTTACCAAAACAAAGCATGATCACATCTCTATATCCAAGAATCCCATCCAGGTACAACAACAATTTTACTGTAGGTAAATAATAGCGTCCAGATTCATTGAACCCACATATCAGTGTTTTTTTTCAACTTTAATGTACAACATGTCAGCATGGATCTTCAAAATATTTCACTCATTAATGAGGTGCACATGCACAGTTTTCATTTTCCTACAAGACACCCGTCGTCATGGCATGAGTGTGTTACTTATAGAACATGATTGGATACAAAAATTTCTCAAAAAAATCGAAACATTTTTAATTCAACTATTTTTTTAATTCAACTTTAACTCAACCCACTATCATCAATATTATCAATGTAATTAAATAATATCAATCAATCATTCTTACACACAACATCAACCTTAATTCACTATTCATCTACTCACATAAATTTAACTAACTATCACATCACATTTTCTCTCTCTTACTTTTACATCAATTTAATTTTAATTATTTTATTTTAAATATTATTTTATTATATCCACTAACAACTAACCATACCTACTTTTTCAAATTTAACCAACCCAAAATCAAAACAAAAACAAATTTATATCCAAGATAACATTTTTACTTAATTAATTCTAAATAAATTTTAAGAAAATTCATTATTATTACTTATATATAAAATGAGACTTTTTTATTTGTATGATTTGTCCATCTTACACTATAATTTCTAATACATAGTAATGAACTAGTACAACGCCCGTGTATTACACGGGTGCTTGATAAATTTTTTCTTAAAATTCTAAAATTAGTGAGAAAAAATAGTTAAAAATTTAAATATCTTTTATAAAAATAACATTTTTTTTATTTGTGCGACTTACATGTGTTACATTATAATAATTTTTTTAATTTACAACATATAACTAAATTAAACATAAATATATCAATTGAAAAATAATTTTATTTTTCTAATGAAATTTAATAAATATTATTATTTTTTATTATTATAAAGATAAATATAATTTATTTATTTCATATATACAATATGGATGTCAAATCGAACGTCATCAAAAGATGATTAATTTGATATATTATATATGTAAACCGATAAGAAATACAAAAGTTATCAACTTTTAAAATACATTTACAATTCAATAGCTAATTGAAGGAAACAAATCCAAAGTCAGGTATATATTAGTCACTTAGGCTCAGCACATTCGGGAATTATATATAGGGAAGATTTATAGATAATTTATTAATTGATGTATAATTTTACTATTTTTTTAGTATTAATAAATGATTTAATTTTATAATAAATAAAAATAACTTATTTATTTATTGTATATATGCAACATGGATATGAAATCAAAACTCATCAAAAAGTAACTAATTTGATATATTATATATATATATAAAACTGATAACATATATATATATATAACTGATAACAAAAAAAAAATTATTGACTTTTCAATATAGTTTAAGTTAAGTGTGTTGTAGATTTAATAGCCCTAATTGTTAGAGAATCTACAATGGAACATTGTTCATTTTGTGTTGAATTGCATGGAGAAAAGAAATAAAAAAATAATGTCTCTAATGGTTAAAAGTGTGAATCATGGTGTCATTTGTGATGTGTAAAATTATAATTGGGTGAAGAAGAGAGATAAATTGAATAAAAATATATAATATATAGTAGAATTATTTTAGAATGATTTCTACATTTAGAAGGCTTTCCAGACATTTTTCATGCCAAATAGGATTGTTTGTGTCATGTGACAATGAAATAGAACAATAGAATGACCATTGGAAATTCTCTTAAACTCCATATCCAGATTGACTACTCTGAAAGACCGTTGACACATAAGATTGTGAATCATCAGAATTAATCTATTAATAAAATTATAACATATCAAGATAAAAAAATTAATTAAATATGATTTTTTTTTTCGAAACGATTGATATTATTATAACTCGAAATAATTACGTCAACGAGTTCACAAGACCCAACACCCTCAAGAGAGGAAATGGAGAATCACCAACATTGGCGTTCTAGTCTATACGTAAG